GAGATTATATTTAAATTGAGAATATGTGCAACCTTTTTTGATTTAGCAATTATTTAGAAGAAAATTGCTTAGAACAATGTATTTGTCCAAAATAGATGAAAAATCAATATTGAGACTTTGAGATATTCTGATCACTCGATTAATAGAGATTCAAAAATTTGATACTTGATATGTGATAGAATATCGAAACACTTGAAACAAAAGAGAACACTCAGAAGTAGCCTCATTTGTTCGATTGATGACCTATTCATAGTGAATATAGGATAAAGAAAATAGTTTTTGTCTGATTTCTACTACGATTTTAATTGATAACGACCGGTCGAAACGAATAAAAATCTTGGACTGGGACTTCATTGTTTTCTTTATCCTAAATGTAGGTTCATGTTCTGTTCAAAACTTACCAAATTTAAATTTCATATCATTTCAAACACATTTTCACTTTTTCGAACTATTTTACTATTTTTTTAACTCCTTTGACTTCATTTCTTCAGACTGAATTGAAAAAATAAAATTAATGATGAAATCTATTGAACGAAACGTCGCATTGCGAATTGATCCGTATCAGATTATAACACATATGAAACAGCTTTGAAAGTTTCAATGCCTTTTTTATATCACTCAAAATGGAGGCGGCAGAGCCAAAAAACGAAATGCGTCAATTTTACTTTTTGCAAACATTTCAGTACTGATATTTTTGATCTAAAAAGGGATTATTCTAGTTCCCCAAAATAGAAAACTTGTATGCAATTTAACCGGCCTTGTAGGTTATACCGTTTCCGAGAAAACGGCAGTGGAATCAATAAAAAACACCCTGTATAACTCCACAGTTGAAAAATACAACCAACTGAACAAAACAAACACGTCTTCATTCAACTTTCAAACAAAACACCAACACAAACATTGACGATGGTAAACAATTCTATAAAGTTTAGGTCAAGATCAAGTTGAACGTTGATCATTCACCTGGCTAGGTAAATAAATTGTTTCACATTCTCCGCCGATAGTAATTCTCATAGCTCTCTTGAGACTATATTAAAATAGTGGATTATTATGGAAATATATCTAATTTTCAAATCACGATAACGGTATACTGGTTGGTACTAATTTCTTGCGTTGGTTTGAATACAATTCAAGTTCACTTATTGAATGATGGGTGTGGGTTTTCTTCCAACAGATTTGTGGCTCGTTCTACAAACTTACATTTTTCATAGTTTACTGGGACTTTATATTTTCTAAGATTGTTTACTCGAAAGGAACGTCCATAAAACGAAGACACTTTATTGTGAGATTGTTACTAAACAGTTTTACAAAAACCCGTGTTTCGCCGTACAATTGCTTCTTCGGGTGTGTCTTTAGTATATCAAGTATCGGCCAATTCCATCAGATATCTTCAGATTTTAAATTCTGTCATATCATCTGAAAAAGTGCCATGGAGCCATTAATGCTTTAACATTTTAATTCATCCATCTAGAGAGTACTAGAACAAACCAGGACTCTGTGGAAATATGTAGAATGCTCTAGATCTTCGTGAAACCATCAACGATTGAATAGTCCCGAACATTCGAGAGTATTTAGGAGCATTCCAATATTTACTAAAATGTTCGGAAATAGTCCTGGAATACAGATCATTGTGGAATGATCAAAGGAGTTATCGTGGTGGTTCTCCATCTTCCGTCCAAAAAGTTTGGCCCTTTAGAAAGCTTCAGAACAGACCAGAATATTCAAGAGTTTTCCCCAAAATTCCAGAACAGACCAGAACAGTCTCGAATGTCTTGGAATATTCTTAAACATTGTAGGCCATCCAAAGCAAGATCCGTTGACCTTTTAAAATTTGAAAATAACTTTTATATTTCAAATATCACAAAATTTAGTGGCAACTCCCTGAACAAATCTGGGTACTTTAGCTAGTAAATAATGATAATGATCTTTGATAAAATTCCCTCATTTCCAGATTCAAAATGAGTGAGTCCCTACCTATCTAAAAAAGACCACAGGAAACAAAAATTGGGCTTTGAAAATCAATTCACTGGTATCAATTTCAAATTTGAAACTAATTTATTTGATGAGGATTAGAACCGTATCCGTCCAAATAGCTTTCCAGTTACCAATTTGAACTTCAAAATGGGTATAGGTGTAGGTATAATGAACTATCCACAAAATATAACCATGTGCCATCGCTGACTTTTTGTATTTCTATAAAAGAACAAAATGCAGTGTATATTGTGTAGAAGAAATTGCGACTAGAAAACATGTAATAGGTACGAAATAAAAGTACTCCTTGTCCTAATTATAATTACGGATGTCATTTTGAAATTCATTCAGGCATGTTGCCAAATGCATTAGTAATTTTCAGTTTGATTAGCTTGGCAAAGCATGAACCCCAAAAATTTTGAACGGGTTTTCGAAAATAATATCCACATACATTGTTTGCTTCAATAATATTTCTATGGACAGTCAGTTCGTTCGTAAATGCACAAATTTTATGGAGCATGTAAATTCTCAGCAGTCAGACAATATTGCTCAGTTTCAAAATCGTATTGTCTACTTGCCTACGTAGTTCAGAGAGTTGAGAGAATCTAAGTTTTCATCCCATATCCAGCAAAGTGAAAGTATTGTTATTAGTGCTTTCAAATTGTGTTCGGTTTAAATCGTGAAGCGTTAAAAGCTACATCAAAAACTTTGCGATCCCATCAGATACAATAAAGATTCCTGAGTACCAATAAAAATGCAACACGAGGCCATCAAATATAATAGTAACGTAGTATATTAAATTACGCCTTCTATTATAGATCCATCGTTAATGGACCAACTGTCCGTTCGAACTTCGAGAATACCACTTACTTTCTTTAGAATTTCCAATAAGAAATGAACCTCACAAACGAGAATCGGCAAAGTTTGTTTTTTACGGAGTCTGACCTAGAAATGTTATACACGTTCATGTTCAAACATTATTTGTGAAGATTCTTCCTCAATCCAGGACGCTGTCAAACAAGTCGTGAAAATGTTATTCCTTCCTGTCACTGTAAACTGTTAGTCTACAACACAACACGTAAAAATGTGTTACAGTTATTCAATTGTTCCAACAACTGTTTATTGTGGTAAGATGAGATTCATACAATTAATATGATAAAAAAAATTGTCAGTGAAAGCGGTGATTCGTAGCATGTGTTTTCGTAAATGCCTCAGGTGAAACAACTGCTGCGGACTATTTTGTGGGGCCCTGAGAATGGAATTTCTGTCGTGGCCAATGATTCGTTGCTTGAACCTTCTATAGAAGTTGGCTTTCAAGTGTAGTTGAATAATTATGAATGATATCCATGATAATGAAACAATTTTCAAACTGATACCTTTACTAAAGTCGCACTTCGCTAAACAGTAGCTCCCTCAATCAAACTGGTTGAATAAACTGTCTCATAATGTATTATATACAACAGACCTATCAGAAGGACATTTTGGACGAGTGAGTTATTCATGAATATCACTGGAGTTTAAGTCCCAACACCAAACCGTTATTTTTATCACCTCGACACATGTTTCGATCACCAAGTGATCATCAAGAGGAAGATCAAACTTCCTCTTGGACATGGTTTGGTGTTGGGACTAAACTCCAGTTACATTCATTACAACACCAACGGTTCCAAACAGTACATCACAAGAGTCATTTGCAGCTTCCTCATATGTAGAATTCAGTGGGTGAAAATTAATAATTACATATCGCATACAATTGAGGTCTGTTCTGGTGTTTCCCAGGGTAGTCACTGTGTACCATTACTTTGCGATATCTCTAGTGATGATTTCACTGCACACATTTCTCACTCAGAGGGATTGTTATTTGCTAATGATCTCAATCTATACCGTGTGACTGAATCGTATGTTAATTTTCTGAAACTTCTAGATAATGTGAGCCATTTAACCAATTGGCTCAGAACCAAATCTTGACAAATATCTAGTAATGTGTTTCAATCATTCTCAGGTACCGATCATATATGGATACTGCATAAACTCTTTACCCTTGAACCAAGTTGATGAAATTAAAGATTTTGGTGATATGTTTCATAAAAAGTTGTGAATATCATCCCATATTAATAAAATAACCTTGAAATCACCCAAACATCTTGGATATGTAGATACGATCACTAAAGACTTATCGGCAAGCACAATGAAAATTCTGTATAGTTCATCAATTATGTCATATTTAGAGTATGCATCCATTGTGTGATGTGCATCTTACTTAGTGTAAGGCGAATTCAGGTTGACCTAATATTTCTATTGTCAGTCCAAATCAATTGCCCGGAACTTCACTCTTTGGCCTGAGAGTCAAGCGAAGAGTGACAAGCTATGGTGGAGCTATTTTAGTTGAGAACTCACACTCTACCAATTATGGATTTAATAGCCAAATGTCAAGAATGTTAAGGGAACTAATGCCTCAGAACTTGATTTATTTACTTACTCTTTGGAGGTCTTCAAAACGTGTGCAGTCAAATGTGTATTTAGTCTATATATTTATGCCTTGTATGTTTGTTAGTATGCAGGTGAAATTTTTGAGTAGTATTTCATCTATGAGTTTGAGAGTTTATATAAATCTTCCGGAGAAATGCTTGGAAATAATTTTGTGACATAAAAAAAATAATTTGGAATTAGACGGAAGTTCATCATTTCACGAACTAATCTGTCTGTTTCTGTTTTCTGTTTCTGTTTGAAAAACATCTCCAATATTCAGTTTTCATCTGATTCTAAATCGGTTTCTTTTGTTGTCCCAAATTCATTACAAAACATTCCCCCATGAACTCATAGATAAAATGATTCTTGAAATCTCAATATAAAATGTCACATTTACATTTTCTTTGTTTTCCTAGTGTTCCGCACCGCCATCTAGCGTGAATAATCCCCTTGCATAATAGATTCACCCAATTAGAATTTTCATAACATTGTTCCATCTTCCATATGAAAATATAGCTAGTAATGCCTCACTGAATATTATCAATTGATTTTTTTTTCAGGTTGATAGCTTCTGGCCAACGACCAAACATCAACGCAGAATTAGTAGTTTGGCAACTAGTGCGTCTCTTGGCATCCCACGATGACCCTACTCTCAAAACAAAAGTTGCAAGACTGGCCAAAGCCCTCTTAGATTACCAACCAGATTTCCAACGAATAATTTCAGCTAGGAGAAAAGCTCTAGAACAAGCTGTACAAGGTAACTATTACAGTATTTCGTGGATATTTGATTATCCCTACTCAGCTCTGTTTTTTGTTATAATTTTCTTTTGGAATCACCTCACCTTGGGTCAATCACTTTTTTATTGACACATAACGTGGCCTTGAAAGTGCTCTATCACCACTTTCGGCAACAATATTGCCTTCTGCTCCAGGGTATATTGAATCCATAGTGGAGAACAAGGACTTTATTGAAACTATTGCTACCCACCTTCAGGTTCATATAAGCTTATGGACATGTTTAAGTTCTTCTCGACCATCATCTCGTTGTGGAGTTTCCAGCTCCAGGAAAGGAGTAGAAACGAGTGATATATCGTGATCTTCTCTTCAAACTATGTAGACCACTTTGTTACAGTAATTGTTCCGATTATTGGAGTCCTTGGAGGAATGATTTCCTCCTTACTCTCGAAGCTCAAGACCAAACTGCTTGCCGCATCACGACCAACATTTTGGTAGGATGAATGCTCAGGGCACATGATCCTTGGACCCATATATCACTTGCATCAGGATGTGGAAAGTGGTCATATACTTCATATATATCGATGATGAATGAACCACATCCAGAGCAAAAATTTGATTGGATAGAAATCCTTGTTGACCATTCCTTCAAGATTCGTAAGTCACATCTAATGCATAATATCGTACTTTAATACAATACAATTTGTTTTCTAATACTTCTGGACTCCAACCAAAGTACATCAATTACCAGTTGCAGAAAACATTTCAAAAAAGTTTTCTGAATATCAGTGTTGCTGTTTCAGTATTTTTGTACTAAATTCACTAGATATGTAACATAAAAACACTCTCAGAACACCTTTTATTGTTCTTGTACTTTTTTGGACTAGTATTACTAGTCATATCCGATTTTAATCAATTAATATGACGTACGTGTGACGTACGTATTATTTTCGACATGAAATCATTCTCACACTGTCATTAGTCAATTGTCACTTTGTCGTTGATGTCTGCCACTTGTCACCCAATTATTTGTTATTTTTGTTGAATTGAAATTGATGAAAAACTGCAACTATAGCGAATATTACAAGAGTTTTCTGTAGATCTGTAGAGTAGGGAGGGTGAGTGTAGGCTCATAGCATTTATGCCACGTGTGATCCATTGTACATCCTCCCAAGGAGTTGTCCTCCTAGGTCATCGTCCATCATGTCCTTTCCAGGAAGGTGGACAGGTCACTAGGAGATATCTACTTTATATTGGCAGGTGTAGGCCAAGACTCGCCGAACTCACACTCTCTTATTGACGATAACTCCGGGCACTCGCACAGGACGTGCCTGACAGTTTCATCTTCCTGTTCACACATCCTGCATAGAGGTGTGTCTACTAGCCCCATATCGTGAAGGTGTTTCCTTAGTTGACAGAGGCCAGTCAGAAATCCTACCGTTAAGCCTAAATTTGTCCTGGTCATCGCCAGATATTTCTTCGGCGCCAGCTTCCCAGGGTCGCCCAAGGTGATCCTGGCAAGATTGCATCCTTTGAATCCGTACCTACTCTTCAGGGATTGAGCATGGGTGTGACATTTGGCTGGTTCCGCAAAGGCATCAGGTCGTAGGTGCCACTTACTGGAGTTTTATTCCAACACCAAACCGTTATTTTCGACACCTCGACATGTGTTCCAACCACCAAGTAATCGAGGTGTTAAAAATAACGTTTTGGTGTTGGGATGAAACTTCAGTAATATTCATTACTATAACAAAGGTTTTGAACAGTGTATCACATGTGAGTAACAATAGGAATGAAAAGGGTAGATATATGCCGAACGTATTCAATAATTCGCCGTTTGAATACTATTTTATCCGATCTAGTACTTTTTTCATTCAACTTCTAGGACATCTATCAAGGGTTTGCGGCAACACTACGGCAGATATTTTTAATTTTGTAATTTATAAGTAAATTACATTGTATGGTAATCGTCAAGCTTATATAACTACATTTAGCACATGGTACTATGTTACATGCCAACATTCAGATACTAAAATAAGATAAATTAAATGCAGAAAGGCAACGGAAATGCGTGCTGTCTTTCGAGGTAGTTCTATTACCGAAGTCAAACAACAACAAACAAGTAACAACAACAGAACATCAACATAATAAAAATAGAAAACATGAAGAACATAGTACCAGTTAAAGCGGTAAAAACTATTCGAAAATTTGTGAAAGGCTGTAAAAGCAATTATTTATCAAAAAACGTTTCAAATTCGACTTGAATATTTTTATTCTTTCGCAATTTTTTATGTCATCTGGTAAGTTGTTGAAAATTTTTAAACAAGTATACTTGGGGAATTCTTTCCAACCTCATATTTGACAAATGGAATATGAAACAAGGAACATTGTCTTGTTGTCCTCGAGTGATAATTAAAATTCATAAGGAAGTTATTTTTTTTTTCAAATATATATATATACACAACTCAAAGATGAACAGTGAGGGTAAGGTTAAAATTTTGTATTTTATGAAGAGTTCTTTACAATTTTGTCTTGAAGAGACTCCTGCTATACATCTGATATTTTTTTTCTGCGCTTTAAACACTTTGTCAGCTAGCGCAGATGTTCCCTAGAAACAAAGACAGTATCTCAGTTTTGATTCAGCTAAAGCGTGATATAATTGTATTAGTTGGTGTTCATTCATTACAGTTTTGAGGTTTTTCAGGTTGTAACTGAAGTTAGAAGCTTCTAGAAGATATGCTGAAATGTATCCTCAACGGCAGCATCCTTCACATAGAATATTTGCTCGACTTCATCAACGATTACGAGAATATGGTTCATTCGACAAAAAAACGCAGGATTGTGGTCGCCATCGAGAATACGAACAACACAGCTTGAGGAAGCAGTACTCAATTTGATTGAAGAACAACCTACTACCAGTACTAGAAAGATTGCTTTTCAGCTAAATGTTGATCATATGACAATATTTCAAATTTTAATGGAACAACTCTTATACCCTCAGCATCTGCAACGAGTACAGGCAATGTTACCGCGAGACTTTCCAAACCGTCTTGAATTTTGCAATTGGATGCTGGAAATCATTAGAAGAAATTGTGACTTTCTGAAGACGGTAGAATTCACAGACGAATATAGTTTTTCTCGGAACAAGATTATTAATTTTCATAATTACCACATATGGGCTGATGAAAACCCTCACACTATTGTCGAAAGTAACCATCAAGAACAGTTTTCTCTTAACGTGTGGCTCGGATTCATTGGGGATGATTTGATTGGGCCTCATTTTCCACCTCCACCTCTACCTTAAATGGTGCGAACTGGTTTATTTTGGGCAAAAAACCCAAGAGACATTTTTTGTTTAGAATGAAACAGGCTATCGGAAATAAATTTTTAAATGGTAAACAAATAATAAGACAAAAAATTGGAAATAAATTTTAGGGGTTGCGTTTTCCACCCCTTACAACCATGGGGTAAACCAAATAAATTACTGGCTAAGTGTCTTTTTGGTAGTACAAAACGTCAGGTTAATTTCAATATTGTAACTTTTTCAGTGCTTGTGACAAAAATTGCTCCAATGAAGTTTCTTCATATGAAATATCTTATTTTTTTTTCGGTGAGGAATCACCTCCTTAAATGTTTTAAACTTATTCAGTTACACCCTGTATATTGATAATTTTAGATAATGTATAAAATAGAAAAACCATCTGTCAATTTAATTCTCGTCATTTTACAAACACTTGATGATGAAGACTCAAAAAATGATGCTTCAAACGATTAAGTTGCAAGCATGTTGAAGCTTATAAATAAAAAGTACTTTCTCCTAATTGCACTCTATGTTGCACGGCTAGTGTATATTCACTGCAAACTGCGTCACAAAACGGATTAATTATCAACGAATCAAAGTTATTGCTTGTTTCTCCTCAGCAATTACGAAACACCGTAAAATCTGTCTGTTTCGCATCGAGCAGATGGCGTAGACTTGGAAAATTATAGTCGAATGTTAAAGTAATTGTGTCATTAATAACTGCGGCAATCAAAAACCTATCTGACGTTATTGAAAAGAACGGCATTCAAACGTGTGGCATAGAACGGAATACAGGCAGGTTACTGACCCTCTAGCTTTCGTGAAACTGTTTATTGTTTCATAATTACTTCGACGCAGCATTTTTCAATGCCTCATCGATTACCGATTGTTCCAGATGTATCGCGTAAGACACAATGGTTGGAGGTGCACTTTGCAATTTTAGAATAATGATTCTCCAATTGAGAAACTTTGGATCTTCCCAAATATTTTGTGTATGAAAGGCTTGATTCCATTGTAGATTCAACTCAGATTATGTACTCTGCTTGGGTGTAATCTATTTGCTTAAATGACTTCAAAGTGATTGCTGCTTCCAACTGGATGAAAACATACCCAGCAGAAGAACGTCTGATTTCAAAAACAAATCTTGCAATCAATTTCCATACAATAATACAGTCAATATATATATATATATATCTTGTGCGAGCTAAGGATTAACGAGGTCTTACCTTTTAACGTGTGATTCCTAACACGGGTTGGA